TCCCACCAATTTACAGAAATGTGAGATGCTCCTGCGTCGGGCAATGTCAACTTCGGAAATATTAAATAAATTTATTAATTTGAAAATGGTTCATATGTGTGCGGTTTCCAGGCCGAGGACCCGACACCGAACGACTTGGCTTTATGCTGCGTTCAGACCTCTTCGTCTTGCTCATCCAGACAACTCGTCAGGACCAGCAGGACGACGAGGCGCGTTCGGAACCTCTAGGCCTTCGCTGCCCAAAGTGCAACGGCTCGAAAGTAAACATTCACTGTTTTATCAGAACAGTCTATTTTATACGCGGCATAGGTTTTGTAACTTCTTTGATGCATATTTAACTTAGCTGCAACTAACAAATACAAATATCCTTTGATATCATCAATAAAAGTCCATAAAATTACTCACCATCTTGTGGTTGCCTGCAACTGTCATTGTTTACATACAAATGCTATTGTGACGTCATCTCGTCCTGCTCGCCCAGCTTCGAAGGAGGGCGAGATGGACGAGATAGACAACTTGTCCAGGACAATAAAATAGAGGTTCTGAACGGCCAAAACGTCTTGTCCAAGTTGTTTAGACGAGCAATACGAGGAGTTCCGATCGCAGCATTAGTCCTTGCGGTCCCAAGTCCTCTCGGACCACAGTCCAATTGAGATAATTTCGATGCTGATGCTTCCTTTGAATAACATTGGAAAGAACAATTTTAATGAGATAATTAATGCAGGGTGAATTTCAGTAACAAAGTGATAAATACATGTATTATATCATATATAATTATATTGTATATTATATCGTGTAACAAAGTATGTCATATACAGTTGTAGTATGTAATGTAGGATTAAGAACCAAATAAAAGGACGTATAATGTAAATGGACTTTATGCTATCCGAAGCCATGATGTTGATGGTCATCATTTTGGCTACAGCGTCCAAGAAATGTATGCCAACAATGACAACATCGTTCAACTTTCCAACGAGCGTCTTCAGCTTGCTGATCAGCTGATATTTCTTCCTGCTCGTCGGTCGTTTCTTCTCCTTGTGCTACTCTTTTTGCAGTTTTGCAGCCAACAGTCAAATCAGGGTGTGCAGGAGATTTTGCGAAGCCGCAGTGCCATCCTTCGAGAGAGTCGATTGTCCGCCGTAGGTACACAGTACATTGCTTTGAGGAGAACTGCCCCGGGATGTGGACTTGGTTGTTTACTCGCTTCCCTACATATGTGCCATGGAAATACCGAATGGACTCTAACATGCCATCGCGCCTTGGAGCTTCATCTGCAATGATCGTGGCCAGGAAGTCATGCAGCTGGACAGGTGGGACAAGTGCAAGGATAATCAATCGTCGGACACGTAGCGCACAAACAGGATCTTCTCAATACTGTGTCGCCAGACCCAGTCCCTGAATTCTGCATTCAGTGACTGATATCAGCCACTAATATCAGCTTGAGGGAAATGTGCAGTGAAGGCATTAAATGCTGCTTTCTCAAAATGTGTCACGAATGAAGTGGGTTGGGTATACTGCCACCGGGAATGAGGCTGAGCACTTCGCCAGGGAGTTTATTGTTGGAAGGAACAAAGACCGGAAGGTACGGAAGGCGAACCAAGGTCGATCGACCTGAGGTCACCGAACTGCTGACCGATTCGGCACGGAAGCCGCAGAACCTCAGCGGTCTACGGGCCGCGGTTTGGGGTTCCTTCGGGTTTCAGTCCTAGAACTTATATAACCATGTGTCCAGAGGAACGCTTACACACATATACATGCACACACGTATTATGTATGTATGTATGTATATACATACATACATATATATATATATATATACATATATATATATATATATATAGACCTATACAAACCTTCTCACTTGTTTAGCTACAAACCCATAATATTCCATCGTTTTGGCCTTTCTAATTTATTTTGCTAATTATATGTGAATCTGCTGATTCCTTTTTTTCGAGTGATTAGCACAAGCAGGTACAACATCCACGTTCGTATCGACGTTCTTGTCTCGACTCCCCACCCCAGGGGGTCGAATCACGGATGAATGTTTCGCCATTTAAGCATCCCTCACCCTATCCCCTACTCCTCCTATCACTCCAAAACGCTCATCCTACCCGCCCTCTCCTACCACTTGATACCCCACCCATCCCCTTCTGCCACTTAATAATCCTCCTGCCCCTCCCCTCCCCTGCGATGCCATGGCCCCCCAGTTTGACCCCCTTTTGCTTATTCACAATCCCCTCCCTGCTCCTGCTACATCATACATTCCACGACCCCTCACTCTCAAATTCCCCTCGCCTACCATTTCATAACCCCCACGCCCGTCGCCCTCGCTCCATCCTCAAACCCTTTTCGCCAACGCCTTAAAACCCCATCCCTCCACCCCCCCTCATCTCAACCCCTTTTCCCCCTTCACTCCCCTCCCCCCACTCCCCCATCCACCTCCACTCCTCCCTCATCCCACCTCCCACTTGCCCCTCCCCCCACTCCCCCCATCCCCATCCACTGCCCCTCATCCCACCTCCCCCATCCCCATCATCCCCACCCCCTCGTCCCCACCCCACCCCCATCCACTGTCCCCACCTCCCCCCATCCCCCATCACCCACCACTTCCTCCCGTCCAGGCTCCCCCCCCCAAATAAATCTCGTCCGGTTCACGAAGGGACGATTTGATCTGAGCTCCTTCTCCCGAGGCGAAGACGCTTCCCCACTCCCCGGGGTCATTACTCACCTGCCATCGCGAGGGAAAACGAGATTCAATCATTATCCAATCATCGCCGGGGAAACATACTCATCTTCAACATCGTTCTCCTTGCCATTCATTCATTTTTTCCCCTTATCTATCCCATTTCGTCGTCTTCCCTCATCATTCATTCTCTTTTTATTCCTTATCTATCATTTTCGTCCACCCGCGTACCCTTCATTTTTTTTCCTTATCTATCCATTTCGTCCCACTCCTCAACCATTAATTAATTTTTTACTAATCTTTCCATTTCGTCCCAATCACCTTCGTCTCCTCCCCCCACCAATCATTCACTTCTTTCCTTATCTATCACTTTCGTCTCCCTCCCCCTCACCATTCATTCATTTTTTTTCCTTTCTCTCTAACACCCTCTTCCTTCTCCTCCTCCTTATTCTATCCTATGCAATATTTTTCTCTTCTTTTACTGCAAATTCGCTTCGATAAAAAAGACACAGCACACGAGAACCTTCCGCAGCTTGGTATCAATCTGTGATATATGAATCCTTTGTTCTCCTTTCACGTCAGCTTCGGCCCATAACCCGCAGGCGCTTGCTCTCTGAGGGAAGCGTGATTGTAACCTACTTAAGGGCACAATACACGCGATGAACAAGCAGCGACTTCCCGGTCTTGTGCAGCGCGGCGCCGTATAAAACCCCCGAACGTGTTTCGCGTAAATACAATGGCCAGGGAGATCCTTTTGCTGCTCTCGTTCGCTTTCTTTCTCTTTCGCTTTTCTCATCTTTTCGCCTTCCTTGCAGGTACTTTTATCCTCTACCCTAGAGGGAGAGAGAGAGAGAGGGATAGAAGTAGAGAGTAGGACACACACCGCACACACACACACACACACACACACACACACACACACACACACCACACACACACACACACACACACAACACCACAACACACACACACACACACATACATTTATATTCATATTCATATCTATATCTATCTATACATAGATACATACGTACACACAATATATATATATATATAATATATATATATATATATATATATATATATATATATATATATAGAGAGAGAGAGAGAGAGAGAGAGAGAGAGAGAGAGAGAGAGAGAGAGATGCAAAGGAAAGTACCCAGGATACAACACAGAAGTAAAAAAGCTTCACCCCCTTCCCCCACCAATAAAAAAGAAAGAAAAAAGAAAAAAGAACAGACAGACAGACAAACACCCGGCAGAAAGCCAAAGACAAAGACAGATCCCCAAGCAACAGCAGAAAGAAAGGGAAGAAATCTCTCGCGTCGGAAGTCAAGAAGTCGAAAGTTTATTATGAAGAAGAATGTCGGCCTAAGATTTTAGCCCGTAATCCTCACGCGCCACCTGCTTCTTTTGTTGGGCGCTGCGGCTCGAGGAATGGGTGGGAATGGGCGGGGTGCAAAGGTGGGGAGGTTGTGGCATGAGGGAATGTTGTGGTAAGGAGATGGGTATGTGGTGGGGGTTGAGGAATAAAGGTAAGGGGAATGTTGGGGGGTTGTAAAATGGGGAATGAGGGGAATGTTGGGGGTAGGGGCGGTGAGGAGGAAGTGGGGGGCTGGGGGATGGTGTGAGGAGATAGGCGGTATATGGGAAAGAGGGGAGGGTAGGGGAAAGAAGAGAAAGGGAAGAGGAATGAGGGGTTGAAAGGGAAGGGGGAATGTAGGGGTGACGAAGTATAATCAACAAGCAGAGAAGAATGCAATGAGATAAGACTGGGGGAATTGATAGCGGTCGGGTAAAGGGAGATAGCAGAGGTAAAGAGATCCATAACGAATGGGCGGGGAAACGGAGACAGTAAATGTGATAAAGAGAAGGATAGTAATGATTGTGAAATTGTTTGATTAGGCAGTAAATAATGGTACTATTTCAGCTACTACTGTTTATATCAATGATAATGATCGTACGAATAATAGATACAGCGATATAAAACTTTATAGTGGTAGAAATGGGGATCATAGCATTTGTGACACGAAGAATAAGAAAGAAATAACGAAAATGATAAGAATAACAGAAAATGAAGAAAATATGATAATGATAAAAAAAACATAAAAGTATGGATGAAAAGAATAAGAATAGAAAATATTCAAAATTAGAAAAAAAATAAGAATAAGATTAAGAAAGAATGAAAGATAAATCGATTGAAATACACGAAGACCATCGGAGTAGCACTGATAACAACTTTAAGATTAAAATTGCTTATAACTTACAAAGCTTCAACAATGCAGTGACAGTTAAGAGTGCATTGTTCATATTC